TCAGGGGGATGGCAGGCCACAGGTCGGTGTCCCATCGACGGAGGGCAGGGACAAGCCAGGCATCCAGCTCTATGAATATGGCCTTCCTCATACTGAAATTTTGCAGCCACTGCTGGTCGTCTGACCGCTCCATGAACAGCTGGTCCCACCAGAACTGATGTCCAGCCTCCAGAACCGTCTCTCCACTGTGGGGTGCGGTTGCTAGGGGCTTGCTTCTGCACATAGGGAGAGGGTCTCGCTGATGAGCTCAGCATTGAGCTCCTGCAGGGCCATGAAGGCAGCCTGCACAAAGTGCTACAGAACGGCCGTGTGGGAACATTGCATGCCCATGGGCAGCTCTGGCTATATAGTGAGGAGTATGCTGTGGCGTCCAGAAGCTGGGCAACCAAAGCATGTACTGCAAATGCTTTGCTGTCCCTTGGAGAGGTAGGCAAGCACATAGCAGAAGCTGAGAAATGGCTGTCCAGGGGGTCCCTTTAAGTGTGCATCTCAAATAGCCTTAGGCAACAGTACCCGGAAGCAACTGCTGACCTAATGCCCTTCCTGAAGTGGTTTTGGGTGGCCTTAAATGGGAGATAAGTGTCCAATCAATGTGGATACTATCTTTCGAAATAGCACATCACTATTTTATTGCACTTTTTGTCTGTGGACGCTCTCTTTTGAAATAAGCTTTTCCAGAAGATCTCATGCAGAAAAGCTTATTCTGAAAGAAGCTTGCAGTCTAGACATAGCCTTAGCGTTGTTAAAACACACTGCAATGCAGGGACACATTTATTGTCCCATCTTTGCTACAAAATGGAACCCAGGTCAATGCTAGTTCATAATTAGAATAGTTTCAATGGGATTATCTAGGGAACTAAGCATTATGTATGATAATATCTGTAGTAAAACTGAAGTACAAGAAAGATGAACGAGGAGATCACCTATATGGAGCTGACATTTTGGATCTGGCTGCTCCCTGAATAAATTCACTCTTTCTGAAGTGGAACTTGAGGCAAATTCTGAGAATTCTTTAATCTATGAGGCTTCTGAGTGTCTGAGATCTGTTTCTAGATGGCTCCTGGAAATGTGTCTCCATATTAATCGTAAGCTATTACTGCTGTGGTTTCTCCAATTGTGTAGGATTTCACCAAGAAACCTCTCCATTAACCCCATGGTCTCTTTACCAACATCCATATTCAGTTTTGTGACCTTCTCAATCATGGAGTTTGTCTGCTTAGAGATAAATTCCACCTTCAAACTTCCATTTTCTTCAGAAGATACAGTTTCGGAGAGGTTTTGGAAGGGTTGAGATAAAATGGTATTTCAGTACAGACTGCTACATCTTCCCCATCACAAGATGGCACCAAAGGAAGCTCAATTATCTGGTCATTTATAAGTAGGCTTGTCAGAATTCAATGTTACTAATTTTGATGGATAATATCAATGTATATGTTTTGCTTTTTATTTAAATGTTCACACTTGTGGAGAAATTATAGGGAGGCCAGACAATGAAGGATCAGACAATAAATACTTTATGACAGTAGACATCGAAATTTAGAATATTAAAGCTTTATAATTGCTAAACCACAAATTGTCAACTTCACATGTATATGTATACAAAATAAATAGACTTAAATCAAACTCTAATAAATTCTCAAGCAGCATTTTTCTTACTTTGCTTATCTGTATAGTACAATTATTGTCAATAGAAATACTTTTTCATTGGTTTGTGTGTGTAGGCTGAAATAGACATTTACAGATAAATACCTAATCCTTCCACACCTGTAAAGAAGAACTTCCAGGATCTCTTATGTTGGATTATGTAGGAATTGGGAGTTGAATGCTCCATTGTACAGGAGAAATCCCTTTGATGTCCTGAAACTTAGAAAGGGGAAATGGCCAGTCCTATTGGAGAGGGTCTCATTGGGCCACCTCATGATCTATGACAGGTATTTGCCTCTTTGCACATGCGTACACCCACACAAAGTGGGAGGAGGGGGGCTTAGAGGCTATATCACTTTCAATGGTATGGTTTCAACTTTTTTGAACACTCATTCTATACCAAAAGCTTTGGTTGTCACAGCTGTCACAAAACGGACAAGGCTAAGGAATGTCTCTTGTTTCACTTCATGAAGGAAACTGACTTTTAGGACTGGGAATCCCAATCTTTTTATTGAGCCCCTTCTGTGTCATATATTAGAACCCGGGTAACCCCATGATTGCTTCCCTTGCCACAGTTTGGCACAGACACTGTTTCCTAACCTCCTTTTTGTCCATTTTCTCACTCTTTTGTCATTTTATCTTTTACTAGCATTATCCATCCCGTTCTGACGATAGAAGTACACGTGGCCTCCTCCCTCCCCGCTGTTCCCGGGGGCAGGGAAGTGTGGGCTGGCTCAGGCCTCATCCCTTCCCACTACTCCGGGGCCAGGGAGGCTAGAGCCACGTGGTTTCCTCCCTCTCTGCTGCTTCTGGGGGCGGGGAAGCTTGGGCCATAAGTCTTCCCTCCTCACTGCTCCAGAGGCTGTGGGGGGGCAGGGATTGTGGTCGTGTGCCCTCTTCCCTCTCTACTACTCTGGGGATGCTGGAGTGTGTGCACAGTCTTCCTCTCCCTGTGGTGGTGGTGGTGCGCTCCGTACGCTGCTCCTCCTTCTTCCCTTCCCGTGGTCCTCAGCAGAAGGGGTGGGATTGTAGGTGGTGCCAGGGGGCTGCCTCACCCTAGAAATTTCTCTAGTCTTCTCAAATGTTCTCTGTGACAATGACATGATGGACACCTCTGCTTTTATAATAGTTCATTTTTTCCCCCTGTAAATCTGTTTTTCTGCATATGCTGTCCATTTTTATTCTAGCTTCCACTCCATACTACCTCTTTCCCAGTTCTCCTGTTCCTCCTCCATCTCCCTTTCTTCTCCTTTGGTCTTATCAAGTAGAGTGGGATAATTAGTATCCGGTGCTTCAGCAACAGTGTACATGCGCAATCACAATTAGTAGGGTAAGTGCGATTGAAGTCAAAGCCCATGTGTTTGTCTCTAGATATGCCTGTGACCTTAGGAGCGATCCAGTGTAAGACAGCAACAGGCTCCCTGGTATGTAACAGTAAATCTCAGCAAGCCTAATCAGCTCAATACATCTCATACACCTTTGTTTGTTCATTTTGTGTCTTGTAATATATAATTTGAAAATTAATAACTGCTTATTAATATAATTGTGAATGTTGTGCAAACACTGCATGTAAAAATACTTTCTGATGTTAAGGTGTGGAGATTATAAACAAAGGAAGCAAAATAGTTGTTTTTCCAGACAAAGTGGAAGGCAAACATCTCTTTGAGTCAGTTGCAAACCATGCCAGGTATAACCACAGACAAGGATGATGGGCTGGCTATTCACTTGCATCAGAGATTGCAGGAAGATTATTTGCACTGTAAAATCATAGGAGACTGCAAAAGTAACATGGCGTTAGCTTATGGTAATGCAAACAGCTGAGCAAAGGTGAAATCCCAGGAGGGCTTCTTAACTTTGAAATCAAAGGTAAACTGTGGTGCTCTGAGGAACTGTTGAAGGACACAGAGGGTGTCCATCTCTTGAGAGAACTAAGAAACCAGGATTATTCTGTGAGAATTGGATCCTAACTGGACCAGGCAGCTGTGCTGGATCACGCTGAAAACTTTGGATGAGCTATATACTAGGTTAGACAAAGCTGTCTCTTGCTAGAATTAAGTTTTAGACACTGGAAAGTATATTGTTTTTGATTTGTTTGTATCCCTTTGTATTGTTTCTATCCTTTTGTATTGCTTTCACTGGTGCTTGAAATCACTTAATTTGTGTTCTTTGTTAATAACTTATTCTTGTTTTAGTAGAAACCATCTCTGTGCTGTGTATTAAGATGTCATATACCACTCCATTGTATGTACTAGTTCTTTGGGGGAAGTACAGTTGGCTTTATCTTTGTGACTGACCTCTTAAACTGTCTCATGAGGGGATAAGTTAGAATCAAGATACACAACTTACAGCTACATTAATGATGTAACTTAAGTCAAAGTATCTTAACTCGAATTTTGGTGCCGTCCACACTGTGGGTAATCGAAGGGAACACAGTCTCCTTTCGACTTCCCTTACTTCTCCTAGAAGCAGGACTACTGGTGATGAGCGCGTCCCCTCAGTTCGAATTAGCTTGTCTTCACTGCTTTGATCTTATCCGTAGTGACACAGGACTACTCGCTGCACTTAAACTATATCTACACTACAATTTATGTCAGCACATAACTTAGGTTACTAAGGGGTGTGACACCACCCCCCCACCAACATAAGTTACATCAATGTAAGCACTAATGTGAACAGCTATGTTATTATATTGATGGGAAAACTCCTTTCAGCCCCTACAATTCCCCATTATTCCCCTTGCTACGTCCTGTCACTCTTTGGGCTGTTCCCCTACCAAGGCTGTTCTTCCCTCTGCAATTTGGGAGACATTTCACCCTGTCCTGTTTGGAGACTGCACCTCTCCATTTCCCCCATGCCACAGTCTCAGCTTCTGTAGGGTTTCACCCATCCCTTTCCCTCTGCTGGTGCCACTCAGCACTGCTCTCTCTAGTCCTCTCAAGGACTTGGTATTGCATAAAGTGCTCCAGAGGCCTGGACCACTTCTTCCACTGCACTACAGATCTGAAGGCTACGTCTACACTGGCAGTTTCTTGCGCAAGAACTGTTTTGCGGAAGAGTTCTTGCACAAAAAGTCTTCCACAAGAGCGCGTCTACACTGGCATGTGCTTTTGCGCAAGAGCGTCTATGGCAGTGTGGATGCTCTCTTGCACAAGAAAGCTCTGGTGGCCATTTTAGCCATAGGGGTTTTTTGCATGAGAAATTCATGTTGTCTGTCTACACTGCCCTCTTGTGCAAGCGGGCTTATTCCTCGTGGGGAGAGGAATAACTCTTCTGGAAGAAGCCCTGTTTTCCAACGCTGTACTGTAAATTTACTTGTGCAAGAATGCACGTGCAGTGTAGACACCAGGCAAGTTTTTGTGCAAGAACAACTGTTCTTGTGCAAGAAGCTGCCAGTGTAGACGTAGCCTGTGATGTGGAGATATCCCCATAACTAAAAGGCAGTTAGGATCTTTAGCAGCAATTCCCCTTGTTTTGCCAGCTGTTTGCAAAGACATTTAAAAGTATTCTTTTATACATAAAAAGATGTGAGGAAAATGGTACTAGCTAATCACCTACCCTCTATTCTGTTTTATTTCACAGAACCTTATAAGAAAACATGAAATATGTGACTCCTAGGAAGAATGGTCACTATTTATCATGTTGAAAATAATGAGTTGAAAGGAAAAAAAAGACAGGGAATAAATCACAGAGCTAGTATCATTCCCCCAGTGGATTTACCTCAGCATTATACAGTGCTTTTAACAGAATTTTGATATGCTGTGTGCAGTAAGTGCTCTTAAGAAACTACCCATTAGCAGGAAAATCTCTCTTCTTCCTTTTAGTGCTCAGTGTTTCTAGCACTTAGTAACCACACAGGAGGTTGAACATTATTTGATGCCTAACAAAATATACTAGCTTTTTTATCTCAACAGAAACAAACATACAAACAAAAATTCAATTTTAAAAAAATCAATCAAAGACATGACTGTAAGTTTTGTGAATAGCTAAGCTCTACATTCTGCCCTTGGATGCATGTGTGTGACTCATCACTGAACAGGGATGATACATAGATCTGAGGGAGAAATTCTAATTTATGCATTTTTTTATCATGGTCGCATCCTAAGTTACAAATCAGTCTGTGTACAAAATAGAGTAAAAGGCAATTCTGTCCATAATTAGTGTTTAATTAAGGCAAGGCATACCAAATGTTTGTAACAAACATAGGAATGAAGGAAGGAGGATGAAGGAAAGCATAAGAAAAAATATGTTTTCATAGGCCAGCTATGTAAACAACTGGATGACTTTGAGGTGCTTAATTTGCCAAAATATAAACAAACAAACAAATAATGAAAAATCCCAACATGCCATTTTACTTAAGAGTCTCAGACAGTGCTAACTGTCAATTTCCCATAAGATGTTGATAGAAGTGGGTCTTGCGGAAGAGATTTAGAGAAGAGCGTAATAGCTTTATGGAATAATTGGGGAAGAATGTCCCACACAGTACATGTGGAGCCACAGAAAGCACAAAGATGCCTATGGGAGATTACGACAAAGGGGAAATGGAGGTTGGCAGCACTGGTGCCGGGGTGGAGTGGGTGAAGGGAACACAATGAAATTCTTTTATAAAATGAGTCAGATAACTTTTAAGTTTGATTAATGCATTTTTGTTTCTCCAAACGTGCTCTTATAGGAGTACTGTGTTGTACTGGCCCTACAACACTCTGATTTGTTGTTAATTCATTTGATTTTTTTCTTTCCTAATCCGTGCAGCTGTAAATCAAGCCAATACTCCACAAAGCACCACAAATAGTTAGAATAAGATTTTTTCAGTGCTGTTAAAATACAACCAGAGACTGTTCAACCATTTTGATTAAAAGCAATGGCCTAATCTTGTGTTAGGCATGTAATGGGAGAGTTCTGTAAAAACACATCATAATTTTTTTTTTACTGGACTGCATTTTACAATCAATAATGTCCCACTTTCAATTGAAAATGCTGCCAGAGCAGGCATAATGTATCAATAAGATTTCTAGTGTTTCATAGTACTACACTTATTAATTTGAAAGCAAAAGTAGCCTAAAATGATTGAATTCTTGAGGCAATGTAACGGTACTGGTGATTTTATTCAGAATGTACCCAATATGATTTTCCATTTGGAGTCCACATTTTTAACCTTTTTCATTATATTATTATAAACATTACTCCAGATTTTATGGAGCCTTATAAAGTTTTTAAATTATTGACAGACAAGGAAAATTAAATCTTAATGATTAAATAACAGGACATTTATATACATCAGTGGGTTTTCTCGAATACTGGGCTCAAAGTACATACAACGTCTGTTGAGTAAAAATAAAAAATCCAGCCATGCAAATCACCTTACAAACCAACTGTTCCACTTTCTTTGAAAATCTGACTTTACTTTGTTACTGGCACATTATCTTTAAAAGATTCATATAAGTTTTAAGGTTCATTTATGCTTTTTGGTTTTTGTATTGCCGCTGAAAAGCTGACAGGCAAACATGCTGTTGTAGGAGTACTGCATTGTACTGGGAAGATAAAAACCACTCTACCTTGAACTACTTTGAGCCCTATAGTGGGTGCATCTGGTATCTGAAATATCACCTGATCTAATCACACTGGTTGATCTCTGAACACTAGCGTACCACAATACCAGCATAGATAGCACAATTTGACCAATTGGGTGATTTCACTTAACAATTTTTCAACACCAGAATCTTTCATTGTTATAATTCTGCTTTTATGAATTAAAGGTCATATATAGAGCACAAATGAGGTCTAAATTTAGTCACAGCAGACCACAGCTCCACATAAAGACACATCTTCAAGTTATGTTGACCTGCTAGGAAACAAAGATAAACAGCACAGCAAACATGTACTTGCAATGCACTGCTTCCCTATTAAATATTAACTGCTTCATTTACATTTAAATGAACTGAGCAGTAATGGATGGAATTTCCAATACTGATGTCTGGTGCTGCTGTCATGGAAAGAGAATGAAGACAATATGGCCTGCATGGGGCAAATGACACAATCGTAACATCCGCTCTAAAGTGACTTAAAGATGACCATTCACCAGTCTTGAAACATAATCCTACACAGCATTTGTCTTCTCTCCCTCTGTAAACAGATCACATTATTTAAATGTCTCCTTGACATTCATGGTATATAACAGAAGCTGAAGTAGAAAAGGATGGGTGGTGTACAGCACTGAGGAGATGGCATAGTACTTGGTTTTGTTGTTTTGTTTAGCATTGATGTGCAGGTTGCAAACATCAGCCATCAGAGACGGGGGGAGTGACCCACCCATATTTTTCATGGGTCTTCACTAAACTCTTAAATGTTGCTTCAGCTTCCTTACGACTGAAGGACTTTTTTGATTTGCCAGCTTTTCTGCAGATCCGTCCCTGCACCAAACAAAGAAAAAAATAATTGAAAGTGAGAACACACAGGTCTACTCCGATGTAGCGCTGAACAAGTAGAAACAAAAGGCATTCACGAAAGGCATGCCATAAAACACTCCATTTTTATTAGTTATGTCCTGTGTCTGACCACAAATGCTTGAGCAGGTCTGACAGTCCAGCTAGGAGAGAGCAACATTGTTAGAAGATGGGCAGACACACAAAAGCAGCCTTTTATTATATCATCTTTAATTGCTGAATAACGGGAAGAGGGAAGAAGCTATAGGTGGCTTTCAGGGAATTTCCTACCACTATACAGGCAGATGCAAAAGCACATTTGTGAAGCGAGAGGGCTCAAGTTCTGTATCCTTCCCCCTCCACTGTGGTACTAATCTTTTCCTTTGCCCTTCCAAGTTCCCTCCTGCCAACCTACTCTGGAGCCTCCCTGAGGTGCGTCATCCCAGGGACAGGAAATGCTTTCTTAAAGACCCAAGAGAGTTTAAAAACTCAAACAGTGCCATACGTGATTATTGTCTTATACATTCATTCATAAATATTTACAGTTGATCAAATTACAATTTACAGACAAATCAAGGAGTATTAACGAATGATGTTCTTATTGAGGTTTTTAATGCCCTTCATTAAGAACCTCAATAAGAAAACCTCTCCAAATAGGAAAGATTATCTACAATGCTGTTTCTAATGTAAAAAATAGCTTGCAATATGAATGTGCTTTTACGTGTATCCTATAGAATAGTCACATGCTACCTAGCACACAATTCCTAGATATCTACTGTTAATTTTTATTTAAACAGACCATTTCCATACTAATTCAGTTTTAATATAAACATTAAATTTACCAATAAACGGCCCAAGAACATAAGAACGGCCGTACTGGGTCAGACCAAAGGTCCATCTAGCCCAGTAGCCTGTCTGCCAACAGTGGCCAGCACCAGGTGCCCCAGAGAGGGTGGACTGAAGATAATGATCAAGCAATTTGTCTCCTGCCATCCTTCTCCAGCCTCTGACAAACAGAGGCCAGGGACACCATTTCTATCCCCTGGCTAATAGCCTTTTATGGACCTAACCTCCATGAAATTATCTAGCTTCTCTTTAAACTCTGTTATAGTCCTAGCTTTCACAGCCTCCTCTGGCAAGGAGTTCCACAGGTTGACTATATGCTGTGTGAAGAAGAACTTCCTTTTATTAGTTTTAAACCTGCTACCCATTAATTTCATTTGGTGTCCTCTAGTACTTCAATTATGGGAACTAATAAATAACATTTCTTTATCCGCCCTCTCCATACCACTCATGATTTTATATACCTCTATCATATCCCTCCTCAGTCTCCTTTTTTCTAAACTGAAAAGTCCCAGTCGCTTTAACCTCTCTTCATATGGGACCCGTTCCAACCCCTAATAATTTTAGTTGTCCTTTACTGAACCCTTTCCAAGGCCAAAATATCTTTTTTGAGGTGCGGAGACCACATCTGTACACAGTATTCAGGATGTGGGCGTACCATAGTTTTATACAGGGGCAGTAAGATATTCTGTTTCTTATTTTCTATCCCTTTCTTAATAATTCCTAGCATCCTATTTGCCCTTTTGACCGCCACTGCAGACTGCGTGGAAGTTTTCAGAGAACTATCCACGATAACGCCAAGATCTCTTTCCTGATTTGTCATAGCCAAATTAGCCCCCATCATACTGTACATAGTTGGGGTTATTTTTCCCGATGTGCATTACTTTACACTTATCCACATTACATTTCATTTGCCATTTTGTGGCCCAATTGTACACTTCTCTAGTATGTTGTGATTTACCAGCACATGTATAAGGAATTTATGCAGAGTCATAAGTGTCAGTCCTATTATGATTTTTGTGGGGAGACTGGAATCCTGTTTTTGATTAGCTCCTGTGCCTGCATGCCTTTCCTGCTGTGAGCTAAGGCTCATATACTCTACAGTGTGACAGCCCCACATTCTGCTGCCATGACCCATTAGGTTACCAGATGGTTTCAAAAAAATACCGGACACATTTGATCCTAGATCGGGCAGGGGGTAGAGAGCAGCAGGGAGGGGAGCGGGGCTG